AGCCGGAGCAATCATGCGTTTTTGCACCAGACTTGAACTAATTAAGTTCACTGCATGAACGGTTGCAACGATATGCGTTTTTGCATTTGCATATAAGCAAAAACGCATAAAAATGAAGCCAAAACGATTGGTAAATAAGCGCATACTAATGCAAAAATTCATCAGATTTGTTTGTGAAATAAGAGCAGCTTTTCACAGTCATGTTGCTAGCAGCGACAGCCACTACTCTAAGTGGCCACAGATAACCCTAGTGCATGCGGTGGACAGAATGCTTATACGTGCACGTCCGAGCATCTGTTCCATAAATTACTAACATAAATAAGTTTGTTGCTGTAGCGAATGAATAAGTTGCGAAGTAATGCAGCCTCATGCAGATCGCCCAGATCGACCATATCCTCTACACTTTGCACCGAGGTTACATGCATCAGACGGTAGCGCCGATCGCTTGTAAGCCACTGTTCCTGAATAAAGAAGATGTATTGACCGTTTACAATCTCATCAAGGAAATAAAGTATGATGCTGGTTGATTTCAAGTTTATGGCAATCAGCTGTTTTACTTTACCCGTGTGATCAAGAAACATGCTCAGAAAAGCGTCTGAAATAACTGTCAACAGCAGTAATTTAAAAGTGCTAATTCGGAATTGCAAAAAGCTTCATGAAAGGATGAAAGCGAATAGCAAATAATGACACAAAATGACATAAGTATTTGCATGGAAATGAAGATTGGTAAGCTGTATGGAAACAAAACTTAATATACTCATACAAACTGAAAATTCAACAAATATCGTAAGTTCGCTAAAGCTTAGGAAAAACAAACATTTTTGAAGCAGATGAAAATATAACTGTAAATAAGAGGCTATCAAGACTATTACAACTCCCGCAATAAATCGACGGGGGAATTCGCTGCTGGTCACTCACAAGCCTGTGCATCTGTTCCGGGCCCTTCTATTCTGAGCTCTGGCTAGCTTGTATTCACTGCTTGTTCAGTGCATGTGCTCTAAATCTTCGAACCTTTGGTTGCTAGCTCTCCGTTAACAGTGATGGCTACCTGAAACCGAGTAACATGCCTAATTACTATAACGCACGGTCGCAGCGTTATCCTCAATGCCCCTCGTCTGAAGAAGAATCTGACTGCTGAGGACGCTGATGGTCATGAAGTGACACGCTAGGCACTTTCAAATCATTTTTTCACCATAGAAAGTATTATCTCTTCTGTTTCCATGTTTTGCATCCGGTGCTAAAAAGATGCTTGCAGCTTTTCTGGTTTGACAGTTTGAGGATTTGTCGATGACTTGAAGTATGCGTTTTTGCTGCTGAAGCGAGCAAAAATGCATACTGTCGAGAAGTCGTCCGTGTGTGTGTTCGGAAGCAAGTGCACTCTGTCACCCGCTTTCATTTTAGCAACTAGGAAAGCTGGGAGTCTGAAATTTTGTGTATATGTCCCTGCCCCGTGTGTCATCCACCC